TCTAGGGAAAAAACAACGTCATTATCGCTAGTATTCTCGATCTCTAAAATAGCTCTATTTTGGGAAACGCTGGTTATGCATTCGTGAACGATGCAGTTACATAAAATTTGTTCGGGAATATAGACTTCACCATCACTACTGTCAACAGGAATTCTAACTAACTTTGAAGTGTTCGCAGGAATTATATCCTCGTACAGGTTCGCGTTTCGTGAATTATACAGGGTTACAAGAAAAATCGTGCTAGATCCGTTAAGGGCGTGGAGTACCCATCATTTCTGACTTATTTCACTATGAAACACCCTACCCTAAACTTAACCCTTTTCGAGATATTCGACTTTTAATTTTTTTATTGAAAATTGCCGATTTTTAGGCTACTACATTTATTTTTGTTTATTTTGTGTATCTTATTATTATTATTATTGCATTTTTACATGTGTAATTAGATGCTTTAGGACGTCAATCATTAAAATAGTGCGTAAGTTAATTGAATAGACCGTAGTAGACAAGTGAAAGTAAAGAAATAAAAAAATATATTAGAAAGTTTATTTTTCTCGAAGGGATTTCTAAAAAAATTATTATGGCAATTGTTCGGCAGATGTTTTTTTAAATATCTACGTTTCATCAGCTATCTAACGAGGTATAATAATCTAAGGTTTTATTCAAATGCATTGAAAAAACTTTAGTTTCATAGGCGACAGTGAAGAAGAAAATTTATACTTAGCCGAAAAAAGTAAAATAAAACAATAGTGAAATGTCATTTATTAAAGGTTTTCACAAAACTTTTTCTTATTCTACAGTTCATGTTCAACATGGCCGCCTCTATTTCTGATGCATTGTCGCATCCTTCTACGGAGACCAGTCTTCACTACTCCAGTGGTCAACTTGGTCCTAATTTTATTTGCTGCATCCATAATCCTTTCTCTTAAGTCTTCCACAGATGAAACTGGATTCGGCTTGCTGTATACAAGACTTTTCATGCACCCCCACACATGAAAATCCATGGGGGTTAGGTCTGGACTTCTTGCTGGCCATGGCAACGGCCCACCTCGTCCTATCCATTTGTTTGTATAATTTGTGTCCAGCCAGTCCCTGACACTTCTCCTGAAATGGGCAGGGCAGCCATCGTGTTGAAACCACATGTCTCTGATCAGATTGAGTGGCAGATCATCCAGCAAATCACTCAAGTCTGCTCTCAGGAAATTTTCGTAGCTTTCCGCATTTAGATTATCCGGGAGAAAGTAAGGTCCAATCAAATGATTGGAGATAATGCCCATCCACACATTCGCGCTGAATCTTCGTTGGAATCCCTTCACTCTTTTCTTATTGGGATTCCTTAGTACTTTTGGGGCCCAGTAATGGGCGTTGTGATAGTTAGTTATGCCATCTTTATCAAATTTGAACTCATCCGTCCATAAGATATTTCTTAGAAAATCTGGGTCTTCTACGTCAGCATTTAGCATAAACCTGCAAAAGTCCAATCTTCTCGCGGGGTCTCCTTCTTCAATAACGTGTACCGGCGTGTAATGGTACGGGTATAGGCCAGCAGTATGCACCGTAAACCACACTCTCCATTGCGAAAGTCCAAGATCACGGGCAACAATATTAGTGGAAGTAGTCGGATCCGCTCGAAAGCGTTGCACTATCTCATTGTCCTGTTCTTCGTCGTCAATTCGTGGTCTTCCCATGTCTGTATTTCGTCTCAAAACAGAGCCAGTTTCTCGAAGTCTTCGATAAACTCTGTCAAAAACCGCCACATCCGGCACTCGACGACCGGGGTAGCGAGTTATGTATTCGTTGCGAGCTTGCGCAGACACACAATCGCAGTATCCGTAACAAATAAGCATATCAGCATATTCCTCAGATGTGTAGGACGTCATCTTCAACACTTCCGTATCACAGGTACAAATCAGAGTCTGGTTAACAAGCACAGTAGTCATAAATCAGAAGAAATAGTCTAGAATCGCAGTCAAGTTGAGAAAAAGAGCAAAACGATATCGCATCTACTATGTACGAAGCACAAAAGCAGACTGACAACCAAACAATACCCCCTGTTGTATTCCCAGCCCTAACCGGTCTCTACACATTTTTTCTTTCATTCGCACCTACATAAATCGTCACTTGTCTCGCTCGCTTGGTGCGTCTTAACTTGAAGGACAATAGGCGCGGGACCGTTAGAACTGCTACCTGGATCGTCCCAACTACTTTTTTTCGACGAAATGTAATACAAACCCTAGATTGTTATACCTCATTAGATAGCTGATGAAACGTAGATATTTAAAAAAACATCTGCCAAACAATTGCCGTAATATTTTTTTTAGATATCCCTTCGAGAAAAATAAACTTTCCAATATTTTTTTTATTTCTTTACTTTCACTTGTCTACTACGGTCTATTCAATTAATTTATGCACTATTTTAATGATTGACGTCCTAAAGCATCTAATTACACATGTAAAAATGTAATAATAATAATAATAATAGATACACAAAATAAACAAAAATAAATGTAGTAGCCTAAAAATCGGCAATTTTTAATAAAAAAATTAAAAGTCGAATATCTCGAAAAGGGTTAAGTTTAGGGTAGGATGTTTCATAGTAAAATAAGTCAGAAATGATGGGTACTCCACGCCCTTAACGGATCTAGCACGATTTTTCTTGTAACCCTGTATAACAATATTGGGTTCACTGCAGACCGAGTAGTTAAATGTAATGCTTTTAAATCGATCTTTGCTTCCCACTTAGTTAACAGATCGAGCCCAATTAACCCGTCGAAATGGTTGTGAAATTTATACACGAAAAACTTTATCGGTTCGCTATCGTTAATTTCCGGAAAACAGGGCACGGTGATGGAATAATCATTTCGACTAACAGCGTGAACATTAGTAACTTCGAAAGGATCGTAGTCAAGTTGATAATGGAGGAAAAATCTTTCTACAGCATCCGGACTCAGAAATGATTGATTCGCTCCGGTATCGATGAGAAGGTTCAACGGAGGGTCTAATATCCGAATAAATGGTAGCTGACGCTGGGTCTGCAAATTAATTTCTATCTTGGCTTGTTTGAAGGGGAATCCTCGTGAAAATTTTCCTGTTGGTTAGTGGAGGGCTGAGGATCGTTTTCTGTATCATTGACGCTTGGATGATCGTTTGTCGGAACGAACTCGGGACCGTAATTCTCGTGGCTTATATAATCATTATAGCTACTCGCGTAAGATGGACATTCGTAGTAATCCGCGTAATAGTTGTTGTAGTCAGGCTCATAGTAATAGCATAGCCGTCACACTCGTTAAAATTCATTTCACGGCTTTTAAAGTAATTTGTAGGTGGTGGGTTACCGTGCTGGTTCAAATCATGGCCAGTTAATCGTCCTGTAGGAGGTAAGGCTTTAGGCGTGAAATGTTGAACACCGCTCATAGGCTTAGGGCCAAAATTCTGAGGCTATGTGGGTTATAATTCGGTGGTGGTGCACTGAACATTTGTTGAGTACGTGTTGGCATGCGGTACTGAGGCTGATGTTGAGGGCCCGCATTGGACTTAAATTGATTTTGTTTAAATGGTTGAGGTTGAGGTGGCATCCACATCGGTCTCTGAGTAGCGGGTGCTAACATCATAGGTGGAGGCTGGAAATTTTGCTTAGATTGAGAAGGCGTTGGAATTTGTATTTGTGCTCTTGGAGGCGGCTTGGAAATTTTTAGGGTGTACATCATTATTACGCTGTTGCAAATATAAAATATTTAATTCCTCCTGAACAAATTTCAATGCCTGCTCTATTGTAGAAGGGCGCATACACCTTATTCTAGACCCTAAGGGCTCATGTAAGCCACGAACGAAAGCTTGCATAGTGAGCTTCTTATACAATGTCCGCTTAGATTGGTGGTCGGGATAGTTTCGTGTAATGATATATATGTCATGATGGTACTAAAAAGAGTCTGACAGTGATCGTAAAATTCCTGAGGACTTTTGTGGCCTTGCGAAGCTAAGGAAAGGTCGTTGTACAGCGCAGTTTCGTCTCTTTGATCTGCAAAGTTATTTATAAGAGATTCGCTAATCACGAGCCAATTATCAGGGATGCCATTAGAATTTATGATTGAAGCCGCAGCTCCGGTGATTTTGTTCAAAATTCCGTTTAGTAGACATAAATTAGATAATTCACTACCGGGTTCAGAGCTCATGTAAGCTAATACAACCTGATCGCATATTTTAATAAATCTAGTGAGAATATTTGGATTACCATCGAATTATGGCACTGGACGCAAGGCCTTATATATTACATCGGGATCATGAGACATTTTAGAATTTAGTGAACTTAAATTTAATTCTTCCTCAATATTCCTTAAATTATCTAAATCTATATTTCGGCGAGACTGTCGAAAACCAGCCTCGCTAGGCCCTCTATTCTTTGGGTGAAAAATTTTGGACAATAAGGATAAAACTTAAAGGATAAAAGGAAAGCAACACAAAAAGAAAGTTTTGAGTACTTACAATATCATTCTGGTTTCCTCCGCGTATCGATTTTCGGATACTCGTCCCCGGTGCTGCTGCCACGTGGTTCGGATACTAGATTAAGGCTTGAGAGCCAAATCAGCGTCTTTCAGCGCCAACCGAAATCTACCGATTTTTGGAGATTTTAACGCCGTGTACTGACTCTAATATCCTTCCGACTGCGCCAATTACGTTAGCTGCAGCCGCAGGACTTAAAAAAAAACAATTCTTAAAATATAAATTTATTAAAGAAATATTACAATACTTTTATAACTAAAACTAAAATGATTAACTTGGTCGAAGTGTGACCTAAGAATGGCGAAATCCGATGTTAACTTGCAACGGGCGTCGGATTGTCGGCGCCTGCTGACTCGGCGCCTCGTGACACGCAGCTTCGTCGTGTGCACCTTTAAGTAGGTTACATGCTAGGCGATTTTAGTGTAGTGAAACTACGTAATTAACTTCCAAATCGACAATAGTTGTTTACTTTTATAAAATTTAAACTAATAATAAAGAAAAATATGTGGGTTAGTCCACTTCTGCATTTATGTTATTTGGGTCAAAATCAAAATAATAGACAGGTTACACCATTTCAGAGCACGTTTATTAAAGAAAACAATAATAATGGGTTAATCTTCATCTGTTTCATCATAATAAGCTTGTTGGAACTTTTTAGTGTTTTATAAAAAGTGTTATGAACTGGTGGGATGAACTGCAAAAGTTCATGAAGGTCTTTTTTCTTTTTTTCAGCAATAATTGGTTTTTCCAAAGTATCTAGTTGTGTTAAGGCCACCGACTGCCTTTTTTACACTGACTTCATCAAAGAGTGCTTCCTCATTGTTGGAATACTTGTAAAAAATTGAAAAAGGGTGGACTTTATGGAACTTTAGCCATTGAATTTTTAGCCACTCCACCTTGGTGCTGCTCACTGAAATTTTTCTGTTGGTTATATTTTTTTCTAGGGATTTACTTGATAGAAAATCAGTGCTGTCATTCTTATTATCTTGAACGGTTGCCTTTTTCGTGCAGTTTAATTACTTCAAGCCAGTTTTCCGGTACGTAAAATTCTTTGAAGAATTTTTTATTTTTTTTCTATGAGACCAAAATCTTGGTCGCATGGCAAATAAGAATGCCCACTGACTAAAAATTTATGGTCTATTTCTTCAATAGTAAAATCCGGGTGAGATACAATATACTGACAGAACAATGACAATTTTATGTTTCTATTCTGCCCACCATATTGGTCAGAATACATGACAACTTTTTTAGTTTTCACATAATGTTTAAAAAAATAAAGCAGGCAAGAACCAATTTCTTGTGGTCCTCGCGAAGCATCAGACTCATCCCAAACTAACATGTAGGCATCATCTGTCCCCATGTTGTGAATACCAAAGCAAAAAGTCCAAAGTTGACTCTTGTAATACACTATTCCAGTCGTCAACACAGGCGTATGCAGGGTTTTCATTAAATCAAAGGTAATAACAGTAATATCAGTAGATGATTTTGCCAAAGCCGTATCATCTTGTAGCCCTTGTCTGGCACTGTCTGCTTTCCTCTGATGTAATTCTTGTTCACGTTGTAACTCTTGTTTTAGAGGTTCACTCTCAGCGCATTTAATTTTGTTATGGATAAGGTCACATTTTTTACAAGAATCACTGATGGATGCATGGAAACGTCGGTTAAAACATTCGTTAAAAATTTTACTGAATATGAAAGCTGATAAAGGTTCAAGTACATTTTCTTTATAGAGAGGCTTAGATCTGGTGATAGAAATCTCCTATTCTCACTTTTATTTCCAGTGTAATGAGACTCATAGGCAGGAAACTTGCCAATGAATTCTTTTAATTCTGCTATCTTATCATCTGGTGTTTTGTTTACAGAACTTTGTCGACCTCTCTGATCAATAGGTCCCTAGTTACACGTCCGTCAGAAATTTGAAAAGTTCTCAGGAAAAACTTTTTACATACCAGAACTTCAACACCATCATAATTTTTTCCTCATTTTCCATCAAACTCAGGGGCCATAGCCAAGTGTCGAAAGGTCACCTGATGATGTCGAGCCACGTTGTATGTGTTTTAGTGGGCTGCGGCTAGAGGAGATTCCTCTCCCTTGTATCTTGATTTTTCTTTTATTTTTTATTACAAGCAAACCGTGGCAAATGTCATGTGTAATTTTCTTTTTATTGTTTTTTCGTGTTATTTATCAATATAAATTTGGTATATAGGTCGGAACACAAGTTGCTACCGGGAACAGACTGTCGCTTCAAAGAAGGTTTTGTCTATTTCTGAAGTCCGTAATAATATCAAGCATGATCATCGTTATGAATACTCCCCTAGATCATCCAAAAAGACATTGGAACGAGTTCAGAAATCTTTGAAAAACACACGAGCTCGTGTAAAAATCCTATCTCAACATGTGAAACGATTAAAGGTAAGCATTACTTGTTTAAGAAATGTAATTATTGAGTTAAAGAGAAGAAAATTAATTAACGATGACTGTGCAAATCTATTAAATCTGTATGACGACTTCAAGCCACAATTGTTTAAAAGGATGATATTAAATACTGGTAAAAATGTCAGGCGTGCTAAGTATCCCCCGGAATTAAGAGCTTTTGCTATTACTCTCCATTTTTTTGGTTCCGAATGTAATGATTTACCTGATTGTAAGGACGCATTGGTTTTTATGATTGTTCCGTTAAAAATTAGATTTATAAGAGCAGTTGACCGTATTTTTGATTTTTTGAATGTAAGAAATCCATGGGGGTGTGGATATAAAAGTCCACTCAGGACTACAAACGAGAAAAGGTGGAGGTCTAAAATAATGGAGGAAATTAATTACCTTAGCAAAATAAAACTACATGATGATAGATTGGTGGTACAATCACGCCGTAAAGCAGGTTTTTTGGGGTTTTACAATGCAGTTATTTCTGTTCTTCATATTTACGACAGCTATGTTAAAGCAGATAAGCCTGAACTTAATTACTTGTTGACGTACAAGTTAAGCCAAGATCACTTGGAATTATTTTTTTGTGCGATTCGTAGCCGAGGTGGTTGGTGTTCAAATCCAACCGCCGCTCAGTTTGTAAACGCATTTAAACAATTGTTAATTCACCATGAAATAACTAATTCCACGGGTAATGTCTTATCAATATTAGCTGTATCTTCTGGTTCTTCATAAGGGGCTAAAATCAACAAATTTAATGTAGATGACTATAGCAATGCTGAAAATATACGTACAATAAAAAAATATCGTTTAGAAGAAATAGATTCGTCAACCCTGCATGATGAAATAAGTGAATTTTTGCACCTGTTTTGGGCAGTACCTGACTCAAACGTAAACGAAACGTCTAAACAGTGTGTAGGATATATTGCAAGATTTGTCATTCGAGCGATACGAAAGAAAATTAGATGTGACGATTGCTTGATAGCTTGCGAATCTGTACCACAAGATCCTGTGAGGAATCGCAGAAATGGTATCGCTCTCGTTGTACAAAAAAACGAGGGGTGGTTTAACTATGCCTTCTACAAGTGTGGTAAATATTTGTTTATTAGTTGAGTCAATATTCCGCCATGCTGTTAAAAATAATAATGGTAAACCTCCAATAGAACCAAATTTTTTTGCAGTATTAACTGCAAAGGTACTAAAAGATCTTATAGTTAAAACGGAAATATTGTTTCCTGATCTACAATAGCATTTTAAGGACACTTTGGTTTCAGATAATTTTACTTGCCACTTTCACATTCTAGTAAAACATATTATCATCAAATATATAGAAATCCGTCTGTATGCAGCTACAAAAACTTATTCCCTGTACATTACAGGCGATAAATTACGTAATTTTTTGTCTCGTCAAATTATTTGGGCTCGTCAATGATATAATAATAATAATATTACATTCCATTACAGCCTATAAAAGTCAATTGCTGAAAATAGGTCTCCTTCGTAGATTGCCTCATGGGGAATTTTGTTTTATTTGCCAGTTGCCACGCTTGGCAAGCGGGTTGACAGCCACGGTTTTGTATTTTTAGTCGTTATTAGGAAGACGTTGCTGGCCATCTCCTGTTCCAGTTTTTCTCTATCGCCTCTTACAACACTCTCGGGATGATATGAGCCAGTGGAAATTCTTACACCACCACTACACGGAGTATTAACTTTTACATAAGGAAATATTAAAATAGTTTACTTCCTTTTCTGCTTAAGAGTAGTTCCTAAAAAACTGTATCTGCGACTGATCATCGCTGCTGGTAATAAGAAGTTGTTTAGTTTGTTGTTTCCTCGCTTGAAGGCTAAGTATAGCCATTCAGAGAGGACACGTAGCTAGCATTCTTGGGACGATACCACTGAAAGTAGGACTGTATGATAATTTCAGTTATTTTTTATTTTATTTTTTGATATCGTTATTTTAATTTCGATAATGACGTTGTAAATATCTGATAACTATGTAATTCAAAGTTTATATTTTTTTCTATATTATCTTGCTAGCTCGTAAATATCGTTAAAAACTTGGAACAGTTATATTGTATAATTCGGAATGATAATACAATCATTGAAATAGAATGATATATAACTTTCTGTAACTTTCAAATAAGTAGTTAGTATAATACGCATGCCACCTATTGTCAGTTAATTGTACCATGAGTATAATCTTCGAACAAGTGCAACCAATAAGTTGACAAAGTTTTACCGCAATCTGATGAACGGCATGGCATCGTAGAAAGTAAGAGCAAACATAATCTATACATATAAAACAAAGACGGGTTTGTTACAACACTTATAACTCGAGATCGGCTGGATCAATTTTCATGGTTTTTGTTTCTTTGGATTTGTCTCCGCTCTGAATAGCAGAATACATTTTAAAAACAATGAAAACTTGACGAATACATAATTATGAAAATGAATCATTTTCCATTTAATTATGTTCCTTTGTTTCGTACCTGTCAAACATTTGTTTTCCTCCTGTCATCCTGTCAAATACTGTGATTGACATTTATGCATGCGTTCAGAAATGTATTTTGTGTAAACTATTTAAAAAGGGTGAATAAACTTTTGTCTGTATTTTTTTAACCAATTGAAAAGGTTGAAAAGTGTATTAAGCAGATTTAAATAGAAGTTCCTTAAATATTTATGCCTGCGTTCAGGAATAATGACAAATGGTTAACATTTACGCGTGCGTTCGTAACTTTATTTTGCGTAAATTAAAGTTTCTATTTTCGAAAACAATTTCTAAGATTTATTATTTAAGTTATCGATAGCGTAAACGTCTTTTTATGTTGTCTATGATTTTCTAAGATATATAATTACAAAGGTTAAAAGGTGCAGTATCCTAAGTAGTAGTCTATGATCTAAACAATTGTCAATCAATGTCTATGTCACGAAAGTTCAGCTACTGTTATATTTGTTTGTTTTGTGTGGTTTTGTGCGAGTACATATTCAGTATTAGTATTAGTAACAAGTCTTAGAAGATCTAATCTTTCCCAGCGAAGCCGTACTGCAATTAGGCAACGGAACATCGCGAGTCAATTATCTGATGAAGGACGAGACATTGCACGAGAAGAGCGCCGCGTTAGTATGGAGCGAAGAAGGGCTTTAATTCGTGCCACTCAAACACAAGAGGAAAGAGAGGCAGCCCGTGAAACGGCTAGGTTAGAAACGAGAAATCATCGAGCTTATCGTACAGATCAACAGAGGGATAATCTTCGACGTGCAAGAAGAAATGGTTCAAGCGTTGATTTGAATCGAGCAGCGTTTCTATATGATTGCACCATCGACTACAGCTTGCATCGTTTAGTTTGCATTGGTCCAAGGGACGTTGTTTGCCAGCATTGTGGTGCATTGAAGTTTGCTGGTGAAACGCCTGGTTTGTGCTGCCTTAGTGGTAAAGTGAAATTGCCATTATTGGTTCCGCCACCAGAGCCATTGTGTTCCTTGCTTAATGGCGAAACTCCAGAATCACGACATTTTCTAGCGAACACTCAAAAATACAATGTCTGTTTTCAAATGACTTCATTTGGGGCGGAAATTATCGAAGAACACGGATATAATCCGACATTTAAGGTAATTGCTGGAATGTAGTTTGTTAGATTTCTATATTTGTCTAAAATAAAAATGGCATGTTATCATTTGAAAAAAAAATTGTAAATCTAACTATGCCTTCGACTTTACAGATTCAAGGCCAGATTTACCATCGCATTGGATCATTGCAACCTCATGAAGATGCACAGCATAAATTCTTGCAAATATACTTCATGGGCAATATGGAAGAACAACTTGACCAGCGTCAAGGGATCAACACAGCTACAAAAAGAGCAATTCTCCAAGATCTGCAGCAACTGCTTCATGAACATCATGCATTGGTCAGGCTGTTCAAGACTGCGTTAGAGCGCATGCCAAGTGATGATTATAAAGTTGTGATCAGAGCAGATAAACGACCAGCTGGAACACACGAACGCACATTTAATGCTCCAACAATTGATGAAGTGGCAATCCTGATTGTTGGTCAAAACTTAGAAACACGTTATATTGTACTTACACGACGCAATACTGGGCAACTACAAAAAATATATGAAACACACCGTTCATATGACGCATTACAATACCCGCTGATGTTTCGGCAAGGAAACGATGGATATCACTTCAATATCAAAATTATTAATCCATTGAATGGTAAGTGTCGTAGTTTTCATTTTAACTCGATATACATTTTATTCTGTTTTTGGTAACCAAAAAAAGTTGTCACTCCTAATTTAGCAGAGAGTAGTTGTAAGAGTCGTTAACCCTATTAGGGGTTGTTGGTTTAGAAAATATTGAACAAAACTTAGTGATGACATTCTGTTTACCCCTTCAAGGAATACAGACATGGATTTTTCTTCTAAAATACAAATTTTACTATATTTGTTTGAGGTGAGGAAACTACCAAGAAGGTTAGTTCGATGAATTATTACGCACATCGTTTGATGATTCGTGAAAATTCTGACAATTATTTGTTGCGATTTCGTCGACTGCTTCAACAATATTGCGTTGACATGTACGTTAAAATCGAAAAGGAGCGCCTGACTTTCATTCGGTTGAACCAAGCTAAATTACGTTCGGAAGAGTATATACATTTACCCGATGCAATTAGCACAGAAGGAGATGCAGAAAATGTTGGTCGATTGACTATTTTACAGGCTACATACACAGGTAGCCCGCGTCATATGCATGAATATGCGCAAGATGAAATGACATATGTTCGTCATTATGGTCGGCCAGATCTATTCATTACATTTACATATAATCCGAAATGGATATTATTCAACTGCTGCTTCCCGGACAAACATCAAGTGATCGGCCCGACATCACCGCACGTGTTTTCAAGCAAAAAATCCGGTCACTGATGAATTACATTGTTAAGCAACACGTTTTTGGGACTACTCGATGCTTTATGTATTCAATCAAATGGCAAAAACGAGGCTTGTCGCATGCACACATTCTAATTTGGTTAGTCGAAAGAATTCGGCCAGATCAAATAGATGACATCATATGTGCGGAGATTCCTGATCCTGAAACCGATCCAGACCTACATGAGGTTGTAATCACGAATATGATTCATAGCCCGTGTGGCACCATTAACCGCCAATCACCGTGCATGGTCGACGGCAAGTGTTTCAAAGGGTATCCACGAAAATTGACGGCAGAGACCATCACCGGCAACGATGGTTATCCACTGTATCGGCGTCGATCGCCAGATGATAATGGTAGAACTATCACAACTAAAGTGAAAGGAAACGATTTCGTGGTCGACAACAGTTGGATTGTTCCATATTCACCACTTCTTTCCAAAACATTCAAGGCACATTGTAATGTTGAGTATTGCAATTCGGTCAAGTCAATTAAATACATTTGCAAATATGTCACTAAAAGGCAGCGACATGGCGGTTTTTGGTATCCAAGCATCCAATACCAACGATGAAATTACGTGCTATCAAGTTGGTAGATATGTGAACAGCAATGAAGCAATTTGGCGTATATTCTCATTCCCTATTCACGAACGTCATCCCACTGTTGTGCATTTGGGGGTGCATCTAGAGAACGGTCAGAGAGTATATTTCACAGCGTCGAATGCTGTTAAACGTGCCGAAAGACCTCCAGCGACAACATTGACCAGTTTCTTAGCGATTTGTCAAAGTGATCCGTTCGCACGAACGCTGCTTTACTCGGAGATGCCACGTTATTACACTTGGAACGCTACATCGAAGAAATTTCAACGTCGGAAGCAAGGCGATGCAGTTCCTGGTCATCTAGATATGCGTTCTACTGATGCTCTTGGTCGTATTTACACAGTTCATCCGAAGAATGATGAATGTTTCTATGCGGTTGTTGCTGGTACATGTTCGAGGGCCAACATTCTTTGAATCACTACGAACTGTTAATGGTATAATGTGCCCCACATTTCGTGCAGCATGTCAAGAGCTCAATTTGCTTGAAAACGATACTCATTGGGACACGACAATCGCTGAAGCAATTATTTCTGCATCTCCAAGTCAGATACGCACATTATTTGCTATCATCATTTCGACATGCTTCCCATCGAACCCACGAGACCTGTGGAACAAATACAAAGATAACATTTCAGAAGACATTTTACATCGAATTCGTGTCAGCACAAGAAATCCCAATCTTGAGGCAAATAAGGAGATGCATAACCAGGCTTTGCTCTTGATCGAAGATATGTGTTACCTCATGTGCGGCAGTTTGTTAGTCAGGCTAGGAATGCCAGCGCCAGATCGCGGAATGAATGACGCATTTAATAGAGAACTGAAACGTGAACGTGAATATGATCCACATGAATTATTCCAATCAGTTCAAACGAATGTACCACTGTTGAATCCTAAACAGAGGGAAGTCTATGATACATTGATTAATGCAATTGATGATGGAAATGGTGGCTTATTTTTTCTGGACGCCTCCGGTGGAACTGGAAAGACATTCCTCATGTCATTGATTTTGGGCACTGTACGTGCGAGATCCGAAATTGCGGTAGCAGTTGCTTCTTCTGGAATAGCGGCCACATTGTTAGACGGATGCCGTACGGCTCACTCAGCGTTAAAATTGCCATTAAACCTTCAAACTACTGAACAACCGACGTGTAACATTTCGAAACACTCCGCAATGGCCAAAGTTTTGGTAGCATGAAAAATCATAATATGGGACGAATGCACAATGGCGCACAAACGCGCATTGGAAGCACTTGACCGAACATTAAAAGATCTGCGCAATGACTCGAGATGTTTTGGTGGTGCGATGATTTTACTATCATCCGACAAACACTACCAGTCATTCCAGGAGCTACTGCTGCCGACGAAATAAACGCTTGCCTCAAAGCATCAAATCTGTGGCGATATGTGAAGAAACTTCAAATGTCAGTAAATATGAGAGTTGCATTGTTGAACGATCTATCTGCTGATGATTTCTCTAAGCAATTGCTGACTATCGGTAATGGCCGTGTTCCTGTTGATGAATCGAGCGGATTGATGTGATTTGCTTCAAATTTTTGCAATTTCGTCTCATCGAAAGACGAGCTTATCAACAAAGTATTCCCGGATATCATTGCTAACCACAAACATACTAAATGGTTAAGTGAGCGTGCAATTTTGGCGGCTAAAAATAAAGATGTAGGTGACCTAAATTTTATAATTCAGAATTAAATCGCAGGTACTCTGCATTCATTCGAAATCTATCGACTGTGTAACAAACGAAGATGAAGCCACTAATTATCCAACTAAATTTTTAAACTCCTTGGATGTGCCTGGTTTACCACCGCACAATTTACAACTGAAGGTTGGCTCGGTAGTAATTATGCTTAGACCTTAAACCAATCAAAACTGTGCAATGGAACGCGTTTGGTGATAAGAAAACTGATGAGCATTGTGATTCACGCGTCGATACTCAAAGAAAAATTTAAAGATGAGGAAGTTCTCATTCCAAAGATTCCGATGATCCCAACGGATATGCCCTTTGAGTTTAAAAGAATTCAATTCCCGATTCGTCTTGCCTTCGCCATGACGATTAACAAATCACAGGGCCAATCCTTTACTATTTGTGGCCTCAATCTAGAAAATTCATGTTTTTCTCATGGTCAATTGTACGTGGCATGTTCACGTGTCGGCAAACCATCCGCTTTATTTGTTCTTGCGCCTGACAAAAAACAAAGAATGTCGTTTACCACAAGGTGCTTGAATGAAAAGAGTTAATCGTTTAATTCAGTCATTTTTTGCTGACACGTGTTTGAAGTACTTAATTTTTTTTTAATTCTCTTTCTGTATGTATTATTTATCATAATAAAATACTTTTTTATATCTATCTGTATTTTTATATTGTATCATTGTATTAGGTTCATCAAAGCCTAAATTAGTTCAGCTAAAAGGTAACACGACATTCACTGACTGTTAGGCGGTACGAAGTTCGCCGGGTCAGCTAGTTTTTTATATAGTAGAAAATATTTTACTGTCTATAGACAGACCTGTAGTTGATTAGAATGGGCGTTACTATAGCAGCTGATTTGTTTTTTATAATACTAGAACTAAATGAACGGTTGACAATAAATTATTTTAGAAATTATATTTTTATTTTGTGTAGTTAGTTTAAACTTAATAATTTTTTAGTTGAATGGTCTAAGGGCTACAATGGCTATTCGAGTACAGAACCAGAGTACAAACTAATCCAACTGTAGAGATGTGCAAGACAGGGTGACATAATATCCCCGAAATACTTTACCGATGCATTGGAAGACGTTTTCAAGCTACTGGACTGGAAAGGATATGGTATTAACGTCAGTGGCGTGTACGTCACTCACCTTCAATTTGCCGACAATATAGTCCTTATAGCAGAATCGCTGGAGGACCCACGCACTTTGTTCAATGACCTCAATAATGTCTCCCAACGGATAGGTCTTAAGATGAACATGGACAAAACAAAAGTCATGTGTAATGTCCGTATCACACCTATGCTGGTGGTTTTTGGGAGCACTTAGCTGAAGTTGTTGACGAGTATTTTTACTTGGGAGTCGGACTAGGTAA